CGCGTCTCGTTTTGCGTTCTCAGCTGGAACCTCAGTACGCTGTAGGACACTATAATATTCAAGGAAAAAATATACGCATCAAGAACTTTACAACAGAACCAACTCAGGAGGTCAATCACGTCCATTACGACAGAAAAGAAGCAACATTTAGCCTACAATCCGGCTGTTTAATGAAAAATCAACTCAGCCTTATGTTTTAACAAGAAAAGTAGCCTAGGCTAGCCTGATATTTGAAGTTGGATCAACACCTCGACCAAAATCCGCATTCATCTGTTACATATCAAGGCAAGCACAGACAAGTCCTCTATCATGTACAACCTTTTCAAATTACACGCTTATCTTTTTCTGCTCTTTTTGCTTTTTATTTTCCCTCGCTCATTAGTAAATCCCCTCGTTTTATCCAGCAAAAGCGAAGCGCACTCCTGAGGGAAAACGCCGCGTTTTCCTGCATCAAATTAATTTCATTGTAACTGAATGGTTAGACTGAATTTTTAAACGTTTATGTCTATTCTTCAATGTCCTTTAAGAGACCTAATCGTAATGGACCAAGCGAATTTTAACAAAGAGGGAGAGAGAGAGAGCAAAAACAATAATAGCTAACGTTACTCACAGCATCCCTCTTCCACAAAGCTCCAAAGATGTTGAACGGGATGACATTGCAACAGTCCTCCTCTCACCAGCCAGGTTGGAAATGTGGATAATTATTCCCACCGACGAATCCTTTAAGTTCAACCACAGAACCATGTGAATCAAATTAATCCAGTGGTTTGCATGTTTATGAATTATCCATGACTCTTCCTCGATAAACAGAAGCGCGAGACTCGCTCGTTGGTAACTGAATCCGCAAGAAACAAATTCAAGGAGTGAATCTGCAAGCAGGACCACAGGACAGTCCTCTTTCCCCACAGCCTCTCTGGATCTGAGGGATGCCGTCAGTTACACATCCTTAAGGTGAAAATGAGAATTACACCCTCTTTCAGAGCAAGGCACCCCCCAAGAAGAAAACAGCTTTCAGTGCAACTGTCTTCAGATCTTGTGAGTCGTTCATCGGTTTTAAACACAAGAGTATTTAAATGTCAACACGCCAACCGTCACTTAGCCTACACATAATCCTAAAAGTTATAATAGACAAAATATTCATAAACTCGCAGGATGTGGATGGTTAATGTGTGACCTCGGCTCGGTTTTGTGGAGCTTTTACCTGTCGCGGTGTGATTCTTCTGCTTTTTCGGTGATCTGAATCATTTCTGTGAGGGATTGCCTCTCGGTGACGTATGAGCGTTTGAATTCCAGAGCCAAACTTCACTCACTGCGCAAACCACTGAGCTCATCATTCCTATCAATTAGGCTACATACAGTGTGCCTGCTCGGATATCAGGGGCTCAGATGCTGCTCTCACGCATGTACACACCTCACGATATTCTCATCTGACCGTTCATTGTGTGCTCGATTCGATGCGTTTCTACTGCATTCGTTCACCTTAGATGAACGTTTCATCTCAGCTGGTTCATATACTGTATACCGATCAGAGTGGCTCAATACGCACTTGTGCGTTAGACCTCACTTTTTCTAGTTGCATAAATCATACAAATCATGTTAAATGTAAGGTATAAGAAAGAAAGAAAGAAAAATCACCTCAAAATGCAGTGACAATGTTTCAGATAAGCTATTGGTGGCATATTGATCATAACTTTAATTAACTGAGATAGATAGATAGATAGATAGATAGAACATGAAAATGTATAACTGACTGCAAGAACAAAAACCATACATTTTTACAGTATTTTGCAGAAAAATGAAATTTATTGTCCATTAAAACAAATATATTTTTCCACAATATATGGCAACTTACAGTTAAACAATAAACTGTACCTTTCTGTACCAACTGTACCATTACATCAATTTAAAATTACAGCGTACACATTTCTAATTGTAGAGTGAAGGCAAACAAAACCCAAAAGTATGTGTGACAAAGCCTCTAAATATGATTATGAGGATGGAAGAAAAAAAATGATTCTTGACTATATTTCTTCATTGCTTTTTCCTAACAGCAGATGCTTCCTTCAGGAAATGCACTCGAACAGCACCATGAGGATACCTCTCTATTTTAGCATCATAACCCCTTCTGAATCATTTCAGTAAATGTGACTTGCACTATGGTATATTTGATTCAAACTACACATTCAAAACATGAGTGAAAAGCCCTTTGTGTGATGTCACCAGGTTCTGTGGGAAGGACTCAAGCTTATGGAAGATTGTCTGAGCACTTGCTACACCTCCAGCCCCAAACTCCCATTATCCTCTCGGACAGAAGGAAATGGCCATTTCTCATTTTCTGCAATTGCAGTGAACATGCTTTACTCATTAGCAGACTACTCCAGCAGATGCAGAACATGACTGATGCTTTACATCTCGAAAGAGAACACGATCCTCCTGCCTGTGAAGTTCTTAGCTGACGTTGTTTTTTTAACACATCTGCAAATGTTTCTATTTTAGCTCTGCATGTCAAAATGAAAAAAAAAGAAACATCCCAAAATGTGAGTAGCCAAGTGCTTCTTCTTCTATTTTGGTCTGTTCCATTCAACAATCATACTGGCCTTATTTTCTGGACACTGTCTGCACCCTAACTCATGTTTAACTAAAAAAAAAAAAAAAGCAATTGTTCACGCTCAAACTGCAGCTTTCAGTTTTCCCTGAGGGGTTTGTATTTCAGCTTAATACTGTGGTGCTGGGTATAGAGTCATGCATGAATGCAGGGAAGCAGTACCATGTTTGTTTGAGAAGTAATGCAAAGTGAATGTCCCTGCAAAACAAAGAAAATGTGAGCAGTTACATCAAGACTGTGCAACCAAAGATTAGGTAACAAAACTCAAATGAAGCCTGCTAGGAGAGATGCACATGACCCCTCTTAACCTAACCCTCTAAACTCAATAGAAATCAAAAGGCTTCAATACTGAGGGAGACCATACCATTAGGGATAGTTCACCCAAAAATCTAAATTTTGTCATGATTTACTCAGCCTCCACTTGTTCCAAACCTGTATGAGTTTCTTTCTTCTGTTGAATGCAAAAGAAGATGAAGAATGTTGGGAACTAAACAGTTGACAGTAGCCGCTGACTTATAGTGGACCCTTTGGAATTTTCTGTAGCCGTTTCTGCATAAATATTACTTAAAGATCATCAGGTTTTCATGCAAGTTCCAAAAGTTGACAAAGAGAACCCAATCAAACAAATGAGACGAAAATATATACACTCTTAAAAAATAAAGGTGATTCACGATGCCATAGAAGAACCTTTTTTGTCCAAATGGTTCAATAAAGAACCTTTAACATCTGAAGAACCTTTGTTTCACAAAAGGTTCTTTGTGGCAAAAGAAGGTTCTTCAGATTATAAAAAGGTAAGAAAGAGGTGGTTCTTTAAAGAACCTTTGACTGAATGGTTCTTTGTGGAACCAAAAATGGTTCTTCTATGCATGGCATTGCTGTGAAAAACCTTTTAAGCACCTTTATTTTTTAACAGTGTATAGACAATTCTACAGGGTTCGCAAACTTTCAGGCCCCACTGTAGTATTTTTTTTCCATGCAGCCTATGGCTACTGTCAACAGTTTGGTTACCAACATTCTTCAAAGTATCTTCTTTTGTATTCAACAGAAGAAAGAAGCTCAGATTTGGAGCGGCGTGAGGGTGAGTAGCCTAAATGATGAGAGAATTTTCATTTTTGGGTGAACTATCCCTTTAACGTCAGGCCTATAACAGCAATGTGTGTATGCAATTACATAAAGTGTAGTTTTAGAATCATTAAATAGAAATATTATACTCTCCCACACAGTGGCATAGCAGCGGGAGGTTTGGTGGGAAACACTAATAATTGCACTAGGGCCCTTGGGTGCACCTGGGCCATAATATTTTATATCTCAATCAAAGACATGGTAAATCGGGTATTTTTAGATGGGGAAACATTTCATTATGTTTCCGAGCAACCCTCTGACTGTAAAATGTGTTCGTGCTAACAGAATCCCTATGGGACATAGACGTCAAGAGCCTGCAAAAACATCTCCAAGGGGGCAATATTCATTGGAATGTTTTTTATGTGTTTTTGTATATGCCTACTACGCAATTACGTGTCTGACCAAACTGAGGAGAACAGTTAATGTTGATTAAAATCAAGCAGCTAAGCAATTTAGAGGAAAATAAGAGACGACCTACATTACTCTACACTAAAACCCATGCTAGTTGAGTAAAACCTAAAAATAAACAAGCAGCAAATGGTAAAAAGAGATACAAGCATTAGAAAGAAAATGCGGTTCTATTCCCATTTCGAACAGTTCTTTCTTTGCGTGAACATTTGGGCGGTTTATGCAAATCTTCCCACATAGTGAGGTAGATATGTGGGGGCGTGTTAGAATGAGCCGTTTTAGGTAGGTGTGGCTGACTCTTAACTTTTATAAAGAATATCTCTTTGGATTTGAGACTTTAGTCTTTGCAACTTTACAGATCTTCTTTATGCACCAAGAGCTTGTAACACTCCAAAGAAAAAGGAAAATTTAAATCGCATCATATGACCCCTTTAAAAGAACCGGTTCAAATACTCAAGTCACTCAGTGAAAAACTCCTACTCTTTGCAGTCAAGACGGGTCATCACGCGATATATGCTCTCTACACACAATGTTCAGAATGAAATAAGTTCCATTGTCAAATATAACGTTAAAAATGTGTAACGGTATAAATTAAAAGTAATTTGCATTTAAATTGCAATGCTAAATTATTTACAAAAACGTTTTAATTAAATTTATTTACAAAAAAAGCTGTCATACAATCATCTTGGTAAAATTTCTATTATTCGACGGCTTTATTATTAGTCGCTCCATCAGTGAAATCCTCGATTGCGAAATGTTTCCTACTATCTGCTCACTCCGGTTCTCAGTTAACATAATTTCGAGTGGGACATGTCAGAAAGACGGTTCATAGTTCATAGTCGGTGAGCTGATAAATCGAGAACCGCTCTGACCGATACGTTATTAGTCCCATTCGTGAACGAATCGCTTAGAACGGTTTTGTGAACCGGTTCAACTAATTCACTAAAAAGATTCGACTCATAAGAACCATTCTTTCACAAAGCGGGCATTGCTATCCACTACCTTTCGTGGCGGGACTTATATTATTTAAAGAAACGGAAATCCCCACTACTAAGCTGACCGGTAGTTACGACGCGTTCGGCATTCTGTTTACGTAAGCTAGCAGTCCAGGTGGGTTGTTTTTAAAACATTTTTATGTGTTTCGTTTTGCTGGGAGGCTACGCGAGCTTCGTTTGGAATTTGTTACGCGCGTTGTATGGCAAGCGCCAGAGTCAGTGGGTTTTCCAAACGCGTTATGCATGCTTGTATGGTGATAGAAAACGTTCTGATTTAGTAAGGCCAGCTGATTTAGTAAGCAATATGGATTGTACCTTGCTTAAACTTTTCATTGTTTAAATTGTTATTTACTTCTGGATCGTCATCGTCGAATGTTGCTAGCGTTTTAGAGGAAAAGCCATTTACGTTATCATTAATAGTGCAGCTAGAAGCGTCGGTAACGCTTTTTAACCAGAGAGCTTGTTGCCATACTTCCATACTTGCTTGTTGTTGCCATACTTGCACGTAATTTCCGGATTGTTTGTTTCATTCAGTGTAGATGTGTTTATGTATAAAAAGCACATGATTGTCTTCGATGACACGCTTTGAGCCAGCTGTCTGTATTGTGGCTACGACTGAACCTTGGTTGCTGTTTAATCTGAAACGAAGTACAAGTGTTTACATTGAGGGTGCTAAAAGAACTACTGCTTTACTTCATCTCCAATTTGTTTGGTTTTCATCATGAAATGTAACTGCTGATCATTCAAAATGAAATTAGCTTTATTCTCTTCCTCTCAGGTATGAAAAGGTCCAGATATGAGGACGACTCTGCAACATTACACTTGGCTCAAGAAAGTGGGCAGAAGGCGAATAAGCTCCCTCGATCCGAGGCAAGTTTGTCAGTTACGTCCCTTGTATGTTTTTCTCCCACAATAATAATGAAATGTAAAAGGATTTGATAAGTCTTTGTAACCTTGGTTTTGAAATGGAAAGACTGTTTTAATTTTACGCCAGGGTTGGCAAAATTCTGAACTCATTCTGTTTCAGATCATGAGCTGTTGTATATGTAAATATGTATTTACTCTCTAAAAAGGGAGTGTTTTTCCTCAATTGAATGGACATTCATTTGAATTAAGTTCACTACTGTCAAAACAATCAGCAAACAAAAATATTTAAAATTCAATACAGCGTCACAAAATGTGCACCAGCCTTTTTCAGGTAAATAATATAAAATAAACATAGACATCTAGGGTAAAAAGTAGGGGTGGAACGATACATGTATTCGTACCGAACCGTCACGGTACGGACATCTCGGTTCGGTGCGTGATGCCTTACAACGAATACAGGTAATGATAACCGGCCGCCAGCAGAAGAAACAGCGAATGCCATGAGTTGCGCACTTGAAAACAAAGCCGACTAGACAGTGACCATGCGCTGACTCTGAATGCGTCTCTCACAGACTGACAAAGGAGTATACTTTAAAGGCTTGTGCACTCAACTGTTTGCGAAATGGAGCTTTGTGCTCGTGTATCCTACCTCTCTCATTCGGCACAAATCCAAATATTCCATAATATTTCCATATTTGCGATGTAACGTATCTGAATGCTAAACTATTATTTATTATGTAAATTATAGGCTTTGTACTT